TAGTAGTAGTAGTAGTAGTAGTAGTTGTTGTTGTTGTTGTTGTAGTAGCAGCAGGAGTAGTAGTAGTGGTAGTAGTAGTAGTAGTAGTAGTAGTAGTAGTAGTAATAGTAGTAGTAGTAGTAGTATAGTATTAGTAGGAGTAGGTGTAGCAGTAGCAGTAGCAGTAGCAGTAGCAGTAGCAGTAGCAGTAGCAGCAGCAGCAGTAGTGGAATTAGTCGTCGTGGTGGTAGTGGTGTGGTGGTGATGGTGCTGGTAGCAGCGGCAGTGGCAGCGGCTGTCTCAAGCTTTTAGCCTTCTCTTCGCCCTGCAAAGTTTGTCGTTGCTTTTGTGGAGTTTAGCTTACAGTCAGCGAATGTTTGCAATGATTAGCAGAGTTCCACACGGCGACAAGCCAGGATCCACTCTCTTCATGTCGTCGCCGTTCCATTTCCTGGGGGTCGCTGCATCGTCTGCGCGTTTGTATCTCCCTGGGACCTGGGAAGGAGTCTCCAGCATTTCAAAAGTCTTCGTGCAGCCGAGCCATCGCGTCCCTGTTCAGGCAGCAAGGGTTCCTGGGGCTCTGCCAATCTTCGCTTTGGTTCGGTACATTGGAGGATGGATGTAGAAGCCACTCAGAGTTTACATCTGCAACATGAACAGCAGTTTCCTGCACCTGCAATGTGAACTCTGCCCCGTTGGAAGAACCTCCACCAGAAGACATCTCATCGAGAGGTTTTGCGACCCCCACTGAATGGAGCCGATCACAATCGCATGCGTGACGACGGCTTGTCGTTCCGCCGCTCTGCTGCGCTGCATCTCAGAATCGAGGGTCGGGGTCCGACGTGCAAGCCAGGGCCACGGTTGAGGAGGCATCTGAAGCATCGATCTAAAATATTTACACATGTCTACAAGCTCACTTTTGCAGTAGGTTATCCGTCTCGAGGTACGGACAATCCAGGCAGTATCCATACTCTCCTTCCTACAGACGGCAGCAGAAGTTCTTCCCCGATCCCAATTGGAATCGAAGATTGAAACGCAGGGATGCAGGTCCTGAACCAAGCTGGGGTCAGGCAAAATGCAATAGGGTCAGGTCTTGCCGGAACCTCCGCTGGCCTTGTCCTTGCCCTGGGCGGGAGCCTGGCAGTGCACCGCTTTGGCGGCCGGACTGCGCGCAAGTCCCGAGGCTGGAGGAATCCCCATGAAGCCCCGAAACCCAAACCTGAGAAAACCCTCTCAGCCGTCAAGTCCAGGAAAGCACACACCGTCTTCGACGGGCTCAAGCATGTTATTTGGGAGGTACAAGTAAGGAAAATGCACTCGAAAGTGAGTTTATGTACACGTATTATTGCTGTACAAGCATGCATACACGTACATGCTTGTCATCGGTTGCAGGTGGCTTCGATGCAGGAGCGGACCTGCACTTGCCGGAAGGATGCGTCCTTGGAGATCTCTCCCCGGAATGCGTGAAGCATTGGGCAACACCTTGTCCGAAGCTGAGACACGGGTGTGTGGCTGTCGTGCTGCAAGGAACTTGTTTGCCGCTGTGCGTGCCATGGGTCTGAGCAGTGCAATATCTCTGCCGGCTACTGCGAATGCAATGACGACAGAAATTGCTCGTGATAAGTCTTACTACTGACTAGTCGACTAGTTATTGCGATTGTCGTTGCTGCTCGTGCAGCTATTACTGGTACTTGAGTATGCTTAGGAATATGCTAACTGACATGCTTACTTGTCCCTTGAAGCTGGTATGGGCACTATGTTAATGACATGAGGACCGACATGTTAACCGAGGTTCCAACCTAACAATCGGCGTGCTGAAGGACCTCTGAACGGGATTTTTTTGAAGTAGATGCACATATGTATGTCGCAAAGGTACATATTTATGTACATTTACACACACACACACATGCGTGTATGTTTAGCTAAGCAGGCATGCAAGCACGCATGCACGGACACATGCACGCACGCACGCATGCACGTTTGTCCTTGCGTGCGTTCGTCTAGGTATGCATGCATGCATGCATCTGTAGGATTTGATAGGCATGTGCATATGCATGAACGTGATGGAGTATGTACATATGTACAATTGTACGATATATGGCATGACATCATAGGATAGGAAAGCCTACAGTACTACATGATTAATTAATGACAGTGCATGGCATGGTATGGCATGGCAATAGTATTGTATGATATGGTATATATATATATATACACATGTATGTGTGTGCTATGAGTGCATCTGTATGCATGTAAGTCAGTGGGTAAGTAAGTAAGCATGTACGTATGTATGCATATATGGCGTATGTTTGTACGTTTGCACGCATGAACATATGCATGTTTTTGTGTATGCATGTGTGCAGAGGTGCAGAGTACATACATACATGCATACACACGTACACACATACAAGCCTGCACACAAGCAATTACACCTACCCAGGTCCTATCTACCTACACACATAAATACATACGTGCACGCATACAAGAGCGCATACAGTAACATAGACACGTACACACCTACAAAGACAGACGCTCGCGCACACACACACACATATGCAAACATACATGCCTACATCTGTACCTACGTACATAAGTACATACCTATCTACGTACACACATACATATATTTACTTGCCTACATACCTATGCATATATATATATATTTAAATGTATATGCAGTGTATATATATATATGTATGTATGTGCACATACGCACGCACACACACATGCACACACACATACAAACATACGTACAGACATACCTGCACACATACAAGCGCGCAAACACAAACACACACTCACACACACACACACACGCACACAGAGACACACACACACATGTACATGCCCACACACGAACCCAGGTGCACAAATACATATATAATAATTTTATATGTTTGTATATGTCTACACTGCACACGTACATATATGCTTACCGACATGTATGTGTGTATATATGTGTATATATATGTATGAAATATATATATATATACATACATATTTATCTGTACACATACGCACATACACACATACACATACACATACACATACACATATACATATACATATACATATACATATACATATACATACATACGTACATGTACGCCTGAATACATGTGTACGTACGCACGTATAGTTTGCTAGGCAGACGGGTTGATGGATCGTGCAGAATTTTCAGGAAACGGCTCTGCAGAGCGGCACAGGCGAGCACGAGAAGCGGGTGGCTGCCACACCAGCCTCCATCGCCACGCTGCAGAAGGAAGGCTACAACGTGGTGGCTGCCCCGGACAGCCACACAGGCATTTGGTACCCCCTTTCTCCCAATCGCTGAATCTGCAGCAGGCACAGGGTTCGAAATCTGCAGGAGACAGCTGCTGAGCAACAGTGACACCTGCAGCTGTTCAGCTGTTGTATTCAATGGTCCAAGGTCGTGCAAGCCACAAGGATGCAGTTCAGCGGTCTTGAGTTCTGCAAACTCCCCCTGTTCCTTTTCTGGGTTTTGTTTACCCTGTTCCGTTCCATCATGTTCCCAGGGATTTGAAAGATGGATTTGCTGCTCAGACTCCTTCGGAGGAATCCTGGCTTTCAGAGGTGCAGTGGCGCAGGGTCGGAAAGGTTGAAGTTTGCTATGCTTATGAAGGCGGCACCTACAGGTCTAAGCGAGGACCATTTTGAAGTTGTAAGTCATAAGTCTTGGCTGAAGCATGAGAGCTGCAAGCCCACCCTAGAAACTTGAGGCCCGCCGTGACTATTATTTCCAGACTCCCGAAAAACAGGCGAGCGCTGGCTTTGCTGCGGATATTCCTGATGCCACCTTCGAGGAAGCGGGAGCAAAGGCTCGATACCGATAGGGGTTCAGGGGCTTCGATAGCTGAGCTGTTTTGTTATGTGGCGGGACGTTTGGGCTGGGTGGTGTGATGGGTGGGGTGACTAGTTGGGACTCATACTCGTGGTACTAGCAGTAGCAGTAGTAGTAGAGGAAGTAATAGTAGTAGCAGCTTCACATGCGCCTGCCGGAGCAGCAGCGGCAGAAGCAGGAGGTTCAGACGCTCAAGTTAGGCAAATGTCCTGACGGCAAGCCTGCCTCGGCAATCCAGCCTGCTTATAGTAGTGTTTTGTTGACTGTGTGTACAGCTCGTTCATGATGATGCTGTCCCAGGTGCTTCCGGATGCTCGCACAGTGCTCAAGCAGGCATCCAGATGGCGGAGCTGCATATCACAGGGAATCCTAGCGGGCCTGACCGGAATAACTGCCCGCGGGCGCGTCCATAACACCAGGGTGTTTGAGCCAATGTCGGCCACTGTGATTATTCAACGTGTTTTCCCAGTCCCGTGCAAGGCAGACATCATCTTCAAGGTCAGGCCTCCAAGCATGAGCGAGGTCAAGCAAATGCGGGAGGGCACCACTCTCTTCAGCATGATCTATCCGGCTCAGAATGAGAACTTGGTGAAAAGACTGCAGAAGAAGAATATCACCTGCTTTGCAATGGTCTGGGCCTCGGTTGCCAGTTGTGTAATCAGAAAGTCGGTCCATTCATCTCCAACTACGGGTTGCCGAGCATTCTGTGTCACTCTCTGCATCTGATATCTGCATTGGTCGTCTATGGCACAGTTTGAATTTACACAACACAAACCTGGAGACCACGAATCACAGACGACATGCCAAACAAAATCGACGCCGAGGGCTAAAGGTGTGGTTGCTGCTGCTGCTGCTGCTGCTGCTCCTGCTGCTGCTGCTGCTACTGCTGCGGTTGCTGCTGCTGCTGCTGTCGCAGCCACGACTGCTTCTGCTACTGTGGCTGCTGTGAAACTAGATACTGCGACTGCTGGGACTGCAGCTGCCTACTAGACCATTGCTACCACTACTACTACTACTACTACTACTACTACTACTACGACTACGACTACGACTACGACTACGACTACGACTACGACGACGACGACGACGACGACTACTACTACGTGTACTGGTACTCATAGTGGTACTAGTACTGGTACTGGTGTTGGTACTAGTCTTCCTACTCGTACTAACACTAGCTCCAATACTATCCCCCTCCCGGGCAGTTGAAGTCTTAGTAGCCCAAGAAAGCAGCTGCATGCGGAAGCAGCTCTCGTAGCCAAGTGCACCAGTTTCTGCACATTCCATGCTTCGCAAGAGCGTAAATACACCTTGCAAGCATGGACGTAGCCGTGGCAGTAGTAGCAGTCGTCGCCGTATCTGTAGTCACAGTCATAGTTAGACATGGTGCTGATAGTGGTAGAGTAGTAGAGATGGTAGTGGTGGTAGTAGTAGTGTGGTAGTGGTAGTGGTAGTGGTAGGTAGTGGTAGTAGTGGTGGTAGTAGTAGCAGCAGCAGAAGTAGTCGCAGCAGTAGTGGTAGTATTTGCAGTCGTAGTAGTAGTCGTAGTAGTAGTAGTAGTAGTAGTAGTAGTAGTAGTGGTACTGGTAGTGATATTAGTCGTGGCAGTGGTAGTGGTGGTGGTAGTAGTAGTAGAAGTGGAAGTAGAAGTAGAAGCAGCAGTAGTATTAATACTACTAGTAGTACTAGTAGTACCAGTAATACTTGTAGCATTAGTGGTACCAGTAGTGCTAGGAGTGCTAGGAGTGCTAGTAGTACTAGTAGAACTAGTAGATAGTAGTACTAGTACTAGTGCTAGTGCTACTGGTGGCGGTGGTGGTAGCGGTGGTGATGCTAGTCGTCGCTGTAGTGGTGGTGGTGGTGGTGGTGGTGGTGGTAGTCGTAGTAGTAGTAGCAGTCGTAGCAGTCGTAGCAGTCGTCGTAGTAGTAGTAGTAGTAGTAGTAGTAGTAGTGGTAATCGTAGTAGAAGTAGAAGTCGGAGTGTGGTGGTAGTAGTAGTGGTAGTAGTTGTGCTAGTGGTAGTCGTGGTCGTCGTCGTAGTCGTAGTCGTAGTAGAAGTTCTAGCAGTCGTCCGACTGGTAGTACTCTAAAGACTCTAAACTGGTAGTAGTAGTAGTAGTAGTAGTAGTAGTAGTAGTACGTAGTAGTAGTAGTAGTAGTAGTAGTAGTAGTAGTAGTAATAGTAGTACCAGCAGTAGTGGCAATCGGCAGTACAAGTTAAAGCCAGTCGCAATGCTTTCCCACCGCCCCCCAACCCCCCCTCCGTACAAGAAGACGAACCCCACCGCCCACCCCCCCTTTCATACTCTTGAAGTAGGGAACCCGCCTCATATTCATTGAGTAGGAACCCAATACTCCGCTGGAGTATGAACCCCCCTCCATACTCGTGGAGACAAAGCCCCTCCTCCCCCCGCCTCATACTCTTCCCCCCCCCTCCCGGTCTCTGAAATCCAGATCTTTACATTTCATTACCCTAGAGCCGCAAGTCTCCATGCCCCTAAGCCCTACGCATGAGGATCAGATGCCCCGAACTCTTAGCCGAGCTCAAGCCTACGACGTCCTGAGCTCGATGGCCGCTTGGCCTGCAACGAGTCTGTTGTAAATGGCAAGACCATGTGCAATATTGGTGATGATCATTCAGCTAGTTTGCAAGTTTTCAGGGTGTGTCGTTAAGCACACGTAGTAGGCCTTGGTAACTCGAACCTGATCGGACCCGAGGCCAACATCGCCGGCTACCGGGCCATGGTGGAGGCAGGAGGAAGCTGCAAAAGCGCTCCTAAATTAGATTGAGCCCCGCACGTTTTGCCCCGGGTACGCTTGAAGCCGGGTGAAAGCCCTGAGCCGAACTACTGCTAAACAAAACATTCAACAAAGACCTGGGGACCAAAACTTGAGGCATACACAGAAAGACGAAACACGGAGATGCATTCTTGCGTGTCGATGCAGCTCTGAACGAGACGCAGGAGTCATGGTTAGGAGTTGTTGTATTTATTACCGGTGAATGTCAGTTCAGTGTGGCTCCTACTGCTTACTACTACTAATTACTACTACTACTACTACGACGACGACGACTACTACTACTGCTACTACTACTACTACTACTGCTACTACTACTACTACTACTACTACTACTACTACTACGTACTACTACTACTGCTACTTC